TGCCATAGAAAGATGTGTCGGATCGGTAATAAGATAAGATACCGCTATCTTTTCACTCTTCTTTGTTAGAGGGGGATACAGTGGGGATACAGTGACAGGCTGGAAAAACATCGCAGCTTACTGCTAGAAATCTACTTTCAGCTAGACTACTGATACATCTAAACCGACAAGGTTTTGCCATAACAATTAAGTTTCAATGAGGCTGCCATTTCTATAGGAGTAAACCATTTTATGTAATTTAGGTTTGGTTTATTTTTTCATTTGTATTCAAAGTTAAGGTATTTTTTCGGTGTACCGATTCTTCACTTAATAAGTTAAAATGCTAAAAAAAATAGGAAATTTAAAGCGCCATTTTTGCACCCCACAACCAACCCGTAATACAACTTCCATATAACCATCTAATATTGATTCTGATGGATCGCGCGATAAAAATTATCTCAAAAAGTATTGTCTCTATATCCAACATGGGGGACTCATGCTGTTCAAAATCCAAGCCGATGCTGATAAATTTAATAACACAACTGAACTTACCTGGTTTGTAAAATTAAATGTGAGCTTCATAAATTTCTCAATATTGTAATAATTAAAGTACATCTTATACCCACGAACCCAATATGATATTCCTGAAAAAAAATCGTTGACGATCTTAAGACCCTAAAAGTAACTGAAGTCTACAAATTCATTCATAATATTATTATAGACGCAACTGTTTTTCGCGGTTTGTGGGCGTTAGAGTGGACGTGGCCTTATGAAAACTTGTGGGAAGTTGCAGTGGTATGTCTAAAATACATATTCCTAAGCCCAACTTTCTAGCTCTTTTAGTTCCCGAGATTTTTGCATTTTTGGTTTTTCGGGTTTTGTGGGCGTTAGGGTGGGCGTGGCTTGATGGAAAAAAAAACAATTTGCATTTGGGGCATTATAAAAACCTACATGCTTAGTTCGAAAGTTCTATCATTTATAGTTACCACGATATCAGGTTTTCTTGAAAATGCGAAAAACGTCTTTTGAGTTTGGTGTGCGTATGGGTGGGTGTGGCCAAATAATAGTACCAAATCAGCGATTTTAGTTTTCCGTGATTTGTGGGCGTTAGAGTGGGCGTGGCAGGATGCTGAAATAAACTTGCGTTGTACCGGGACCTCAAGAATCCTCATGCTTAATCTCAACTTTGTATCTGATATAGTTCCTGAGATCTCAGCGTTCATACGGACGGACGGACGGACGGGCAGACGGACATGGCTCAATCGACTTCGCTATTGATCCTGATCAAGAATATATATATTAAACTTTATAAGGCCGGAAACGCTTCCTTCTACTCCTCACATACTTTTCAATGAATCTAGTTTACCCTTTTACTCTACGATTAACGGGTATAATAAAAAGAAACGCAATAGTCAAGTGCCGCGACTTTTCCTATTGTCAGAGAAATCATGTTGAGTAACTGATAATGACGTCACTGCTCACGCCTCACGCCTTATAACCTGCATTTCTTTATAAATAGCGAAATATTGTTCCAAATTTCAAAAATTTTTGGTAAATCGATAGATATTAGTGTGGACTTGGCCAGATTAAAGTGGTATCTTAAGGAAAATTTTCTAGCTCTTATAGTTTCCGACATCTTTTCACTTTTGGTTTTCCACGATATGTGGGCGTTAGGGTGGGCGTGGCTAGATCGGAAAGAAACAATTCGCATTTGGGGCATCATAAAAACCTACATGCTTAATCCGAACTCTTCTACAAAATTCGAAGACCGTCTCTCGAGCTTGGTGGTCATGGGCGTGAGTGTGACCCGATAATGGTAGCACGATAACATGCGCTGGCATCTCAAGATTAAACACCTTAATTTCAACTTTCTAGCTCTAATAGTTCCTAAGTCTTTAGCGGTTTTAGTTCTCCGTGACTTTTGGGCATAACTGCTTAAGGACCTCAAGAATCTTCGTGCTTAATCTCAACTTCGTATCTTTTATAGTTCCTGAGATCTCATCGTTCGTACGGACGGACGGATGGAAGTACGGACAGAAAAAACGGACAATCGAATTCGCTATTGATCCTGATCTAAAATATATATATATTATAGGGTCGGAAAGGCTTCCTTCTATCTGTTATATACTTTTCAACGAATCTAGTATACCCTTTTAACGGGTATAATAAGTCCAAAACTCTATTTATCCCCCATAAGCTACTTATAACTTCGTCTATCTCAAACTTCTTAAAAACCCTTAATAATTTACTTAAACCATTTACCATGTCTCTTAAACTAATGCATCTTAACTTCAATGTGTATTTTAATTACTACCACGATCAACATAATTTTATTAATATCTTACATTACCCAAAGGGTTTGTCCTAAACCATCTTTAACTATACATTACGTATGGTAATGAAGTCTATAATTAGCGGTTGTTAATCTTGATTCGAGATACAAAAAATTTTTTACTTTGGCTGCAACTTACTTAGGACACTCTCCCACAAAAATAACTAAGACTATCAAAACTTACATCTTAGAAATAAATATAAGTCCTTAATAAATCGAAACTTTTCACAACTTGCAGTTACTGTCTTACGCAATTTTAAATATTCAATTTGCTAAAATGTTAAGCAATGCCGAAATCATATATTTTAATATTATTAGCGCCACAGTTTTTCGCGCTATAGTAGGCGTGGCCAAATGTAAAAAGAAGAATACGCATCACTGAATACTATTGCTTAATCCTTTGTATCATGTGTAGATACCGAGATCTCAGTACCAGTACCACCTAAATTTGTGGGCGAGGAAGGATTCAGAAATAAACTTTGCTGCGTAGCTCTCTCAATAATATGAATGCTAATTCAAACCTTGTTTGTCCTACAGTTCCAGAGATCTCAGCGTTCATATGGACATGCGTAAAGAAAGACAGACGGACGGACACGCTATCCTATATATTTTATAGAATCGAAAACGCTTCCTTCTATCTATACCATACTTTTCAATGAATACAATAATCCCTTTAACAAGCATAATAACGTACTCAGATCATCGCAGGATTGCCTGATATCAAACTTATACCTTAACTATCTTGCTCTACCAATTCTGTACTATAGGTTACCGAATACCCTATAAACATCCAAATAAACTTCAGTATCCACTCCGAAAATGTATACACTATAATCTACAAGGATAATCTCTGTACCTAGCAAAGAAAACACAACTTATACACAATAAAGGCTAGCTAACCGAACTGCTAAGCTAACCCACCCTGTCACGAGATCATACCTTGAGTACGATAATGCATATTGAACTAAATTAAAAACAAACCACTTGCCACTGGTAGAAACAATTCAAACCTCAAAAAAGCACACTTAGCTCAGTTCATCAGCCTTTTTGGATCTTCCCCTCCCTCACAACACGTAACCAACTTGTCACAACTAATGGCATACTATTTACTATAATTTGTCTTATACAAATGTAAAATCATAAAAAAGATATAATGTTCAATTTTAATAACATCCCTTAATTTCACTACTCCTACACGCTGCCGACTTAAATTCCTGAAAATCCCATTATCAATTGTCGACTTGATATCTATAGTAGTTAAAACATTAAATTCATATAAGCCCGGAGTTATTATAATAGACTAAATGCGTCAAATGCGAAATATACTCTACATTGCAAACAGGTTTAAAGAAGATTTGCAGTGTATATGTTCCAAGATGTTCCAGAAAGAAACAACAACAAATTATACTGCGTTTGATGACGGAATGATGTGGAAAGAGGAAAACGAAATATCAATAGTATAATATCGCCGCGAGCGCACAAAGCTCATGGGCTAGCAAGTTCGTATGCTCCGAGCAATTACATTAACAAATGAGCCCTCAGAGCATAGGCGCTGAGCATCCTTGATGTAGAGCATAAGTTTAACAAGCTGAAAGCCCCAGAAGCTATAGCTTTGGTCCGATATTAAATTTATTGGATTTGTTTCGTTTACTAGAATTAGTTTGTACTGTACTGATGTTGGCTCATTTAAAATGATTATTTTATTTTCATCCATACGACATTGGGAAAGGCTTAAAAACTTTAAGTCGAAGTAGAAAAGTTGTTGAATTTCTGATAGGATTTGTCACTTTACGCAGGCTTTTAATTAATGACCATCTTTCAAAATTAATTAACAATAATCGGTCCAAATTTATGAAAAGTTCTGCTTTAATAGGCATCCCGTGACCGAACTATGGGGTCATTACAGATGCCGTTGAGACAGTGCAAAGTGGTTGGACTTGCACAGAGCCGCGGCCGTAACTATTTCACGTTAAGATATCACTACACATATTTTCAAAAAAAAATTAAACAAACATATTAAACAAATTGTAAATACAAATTAATAACATCGAGCGACTATAAACTATAGCTCACATTGTCCATAGCACTGTGGTAAGGCCGATATCGATTATATAATTATATTATAGCTGAAATTCTTCTTTAACGGAGTGTGTAACGGTCTTCTTTTTAAATCTATAATGATGACTTCAGTATCGATGACAAATATAAGTATAAAGAGAATAAATACATCGGATAAGCGAACAATAGATGCTGTGGCACATCATGTTTTTCAAAGCTAAATATGTTACACCTTGAAATAATCCATTGGTATTTATACAAAAAAAAAATATTACAAATCTTTGCGGCGGATCGTTTGAATATGCATGCTTAATCATTTCAAAATCTTCAAAAATGCTCTATTTTTACTAAACTTCGGTCTGACAAATTTTCAAATTTTCCATTTTCAATAAAATTGTAAAATATCAACAGTCGGCACAGTATTTATTGTATGGGTGTACAAATTGTTGCAAGTTTATTTCTTAATATTTCGAGAAATATGTCTCAAATGAAAGATATACATTTCGAAAATATATTTTAAACATAAAATTAAAAAGTTTTAACTTAAATACTTTAACTATAATTGGGAAACTACATATGTCAAAAAAGGTCTCTAACACATATGTATTCTTTTCGATAACCTCTGTGTGTTTAATTCGATAGCAGAAGTAAGACAGTGTGCATGGATTATTAGCAATGCATATTGTATATTAAATTCAATCATTTAATTTGTTGAAATTGAATAAAACTACAAATGAAATGAGTTCATACAAAGATCCAGACTATTCAATAAGTCGCAACCTACGTCAGAGGCAAAGAAAAATATGCGTAACTAATGAAGATGTGAGAACAAATTCCGAAAAAAGTAAAAAAAAAGGAAAGAAAGGACACAACATTGGTAAAAATAGCGTATATGACGAATACGGAATTATCCGCTTCAACGGGCTAAACATTTGTAGGTAAAACTATAAGTTTAAATGAAAAATAAAAATGGTATGTTTCAGGCGACTGTATGAATCAAGAATGTGGTGGTTGCTGGTATGAATGTCGCAACTGTGGCTCCACTAGGTGTGGGCCTCAATGTCGCTCAAACCGAAAGTTCTTGTATGAGGGCGTTACATATGACGGAAAAGACTTATCTATATCTAATAAATATTATCCTGAATAAGGTAAATTAAAAACAACACAAGAGACTCTTTACACATTGAAATCGAACTTCATATAAATTGCATGCAAAAGTAAAAACATTCTGTTAAGTTTAACTTAAAAAAAATTTGTTACCATTCAATAAAATTTGCATTATTAATAATAGACTAGGTAAAAATACATATAACATTGCAAAGTCTCAGAATAAAAAATAATTGGACGTTTGGCACATGTGCTCAAGAAAGTGCTCATGTTTTTCAATTCTGTATTGTTCTTGGGGAAAACAGTGTTTTGCTGTGATCAACGCTTTTGTATTCGGGGGTATTTTTGCATTCTGGGTATATTTGTTATGAAATTACTGATATCAAATACCTAGCAAGAAATTATTGTTCGAGGTCACCCATGTCTGAACCACCATAACGATACCCCATGTTTTTGTTACATCTGACATGCATATTAATCGATCAGGTCCTACAAAGCGGAATCTCCCAACATGAAGGTTTTGTCTTCATAATAGAAGTTTCAGAATTTCGTTAACCACTTTTTACACATATGTACATATATGTATACAGTTGGTCAATAAAGGATTCGTTGCGAATGTGCCTCTGTGAAAATTGCAATAAATTGCAAATTTTTGTCTATAAAATCTAACACCGAATATGGGAACCTAACGATATAAGGAAAAAAATCTAACGACATCCACGTTACAAGTAACCAATACATTGCTCTGTTTAATTGTGTGCATTTAATTTCGATTTTATATATATCTTTGCATATACTTGAATTTTTCGAGTTAGCTTCGCAGCAGTCTTATTTTTTTTATCGTTTCCCCACTCCACCGACACCGCCACTCGTGCATTGCAGCGGCAATTTGTTGTTCTTATATTCTTATTTGTCTTAACGGAGGACCCTTCCCCGCGAGCCCCTCTCCATGTCATTTGGCTAGGCAACAGCCCAGGTTCGACGACAGATCTGCCTCCGCAATCCCCTCGCTATACTTATTCTTTGATTGGTCAAAACGGCCTCGCCTTACTTATTCTTTGTTTGGTCAAAACGGCTTCAACAAGCTATAGTTCTCTTGGGTGTTTTTGCATACACAGCACCACATAAGTAACCCATTCCGACATTACACATTGGTCCCAATGCCCAATATTTTTGCAAAAACCCATTTTTACGAAACAAAAAAATATATAC